GGTAATTATTTGATTACGTAACGGTTTCCAGCCCGGAATGGGAAGCTCATTGAATCACTCTAGACGCTGACCGCTTTTATCTATGGCAAACATTGGATGTAAGACACTATTTGTAAAACTTTTTTGACATTTCTTCATGTTGACAAACACAGTGTTTGGTAAACAGGGAGGAGGCCGTAACTATCTTTTGGGGTAATTTTTCAATGTCATGGTTACTGATAAAAGACAGCAAACTATCAGGAAACATGCAGTGACGGTGTCGGTGTGTTGCCATCTCCTCAGGCCCTTCCTCATAACAAATCAATCAGTCGCCCCCGATCGATGTCCCGCCGGCTTGTGGGGATGTCACCCAGCGCTCTAGGATAATCTGCTGACTAGTATAATTACTTTGTCACATTTAATATGGGAAATATCGAAAAAAGCAAAACCGATGGCCTATTTAAGGGCTGATTACTCGACAATACCATAGGTAATGCCTCTTAGAACTTCTATAGAGGTATTATTTCTTCGTTAAAATTACTGTGCTAAACGTTCCAGGAGGCTCTCTGGCGTCCAATCTCTATCTTTTCTCTTTGCCCAACACATCAGCTGATGGGAGTTTTACTCCCACATGCACTGGCGTATCACAGCACGAAAAATCGCAGGTAGAACAAGAGTGTGTGGGAATGTAGTTGAGGGGGAGGGGAAGCGCTCTTTGAACCATTAAAGGCCAGAGCGCAGAGTAGGGAAGCTAACCTTACTTGTGAGGTAGTTTTTAGCCAAAAGAATATTGTATTTGCTTATTCTTCAGAAGGGGAGGAGCTCGTGCAAAAAGCTGAGATGGGATAAGAGTTCAACATCCAATGGGCTCACCCTTCTCGGAGCTCCTTTCCTCCTCAGGCTTAGGAAAAAAGCATGTTTATAACATAAAAAAAAAACTATGAAACGTTCTTAAGCACCAATATGGGTTCGGTTACCCAAGAATGGGTAACCTGCATATAGCATTTTTCAATTGCTTAGCAAACTCTACTGATCCAAAGTGGTTCTTCTTCACTCATTGCAATATCTCACTAGCTACCAGTGTTTCCTATCAGTAGGGCTGCCCCTTACGTCAGTACCATGGCATGGGTGGCATGCGATTCAGACCAACAAAAAGCGTCATAGTGAATAATCAACTACGGTGCATAGGAATATAAATTTCAACATTGCCTTGTTTACCAACAGCATGCGCTGTTTGCTGATTCTTTGTTATAGAGCAGCTGACGTCAACCAATTCTTTTTTTTTCTTTTGCAAAATTACCACTTTGTAGAGAGAAGTACAGCTTTAGTGTTCATTAAATAATCACCTTGAGACGTTACATATGAATATTGCCTCAAATTTAACAAATACGACAATTCTGGCAAATGCTGTCGTAACGCAACCGAGAATCTTGTGGAATAGTATTCCTGCTACAGCTAATTTGTAGTTCTCACCTAGCTCAAGGCACAACTTCTTATGAATCGTTTATTACTATTTCAAACACAATTGTTTTGCCGATCAGATCACAGTGATGGTTCAGCAAAGTAACCATAAAAAGCTGTGCCTAGGGACTAAAACGCTACAAATGTCCTGCATTTGAATAACCTACTCCTCCCTTAAACTGGGAATACAGGAAATAATACTAACACTTTTATGGTTGTCTCACTGCAACAACACCTCGTTCTGCCCTACCCTACCCATTGCGCTATACAACTAGTAGAATACCTAGAAAATAGCGAGGAAGGTGGGTCAAACTCACAATGTAACAACATGAAAAAAGGACCTGCTGACAAATGATGTACAATATAGAATCAAAGGAATTTCTGAATCTCGTCATAGATGGCCAAAACCAAGGCTCCTCCTGTTCCACGGAAAACATTTGACAATGCTCCCTTGAACATGGCTCCAATTCCTTCGTTCTTGATGATCTTCTTGGCACAGTCAAGGGTGTTCTTGTACAAAATATCCTTTCTTCCAGACTGCATCATCATACGACGACGAACAGTATCCCAAGGATAAGACAAGATTCCTGATCCGACCGTGACAACCTAAAATAATCAGGGCTTGCACTGTACAAAAGCACAAGTAGTGAAGGCTCGTTTACCTGAGCAATAGCCCATGCAATGAAGAAGTTGAGTTTGCCTTCGGATGCCAGCAACATCTTGGCAGTATCGAACAACCCGAAGTATGCGGCACGGTAGATGATGATACCTTGTACGGAGACGAAGAATCCACGGTACAATCCGATAGGACCATCAGATTTTGTAACCTTGATCAAACAGTCAGCCAATCCTTTGAATTCACGACCTGCTCCCTTGCCGATATCAGCGGCAAGACGGGTTCGAGCAAAATCAAGAGGATATACAAAGCACAAAGAGGTAGCTCCAGCAGCACCTCCGGAAGCCAAGTTTCCGGCAAAGAACTTCCAGAAGTCCTTCTTCTTGTCAAGACCCTCCAAGAAAATCTTCTTGTAGGAATCCTTGAAGGCGAAGTTCAAAGCTTGCGTGGGGAAATATCGGATAACGTTAGCGAAGTTTCCTCGCCACAAAGCGGTGAAACCCTGCTCTTTGGGAACTCGGACCAACACATCGATAATTCCCTTGTATCGCTTATCGACAGCAATAGTGCTTGATGCATCTTGTACCTAAAAGTCCAAATTAGTAACAACGGTTACAACGAAAAAGAAAAAAGTGGTAATTACCTGAAGAAGAAGCTTTACTCGCTCAATAGGGGCGACAGCGGTCTTGGAGATGGCAGCAGCGGTACCTCAAACGTTGACAAACTTAACAATCGCAATAAAGCTACCAACAATTCTTTTTGAATGATTTCTTCTGAATAGGAATCAACCAATTCTATTTATTCTATTAATAACTACTTACAATTACAAACTATTTACCTCCTGAGGCCAAGTCGATAAAAAACTTCTTCGCATCAAACTTCTCCGGCATTGTGAGAGTGTAAGAACCTCGGTGGTCGGTGCTTGCCTGGCAATAGCAAAGAAATGCTCGGGATCAAGCAAGTCTCCACCCTCTTGAGGTCATTCCAAATGTCGCATGTATGCTGGCCTCGGAACGACTATTACCGTAGAATAGGCGCTCATTCAAATGTTGGCAATGCTCCAGCCTTGCGAAAAAGTTCGCATATTTCGCTGTGTCGGTGACGCATAGTTATCCTGGAAGTGCTGTCCTTTTATTTTTGGTGGATTTTAGGTTGCTATTTCATGTTTGTTAGCGTGACGTGATCACTAGTAACACGAAGGTTGTGAAAGCAAACTGAAATTTCCATTTTTCAGATTTTGGGATGCCATCGGATGCGAAGAAGGCAAGAGATGCTGCCAAGAAAGCAGCTGCGAAACAACAAAAAGCAAACCGTGGAAAGAAAGTAGAGCCCAAAGAAGAAGCTCCTGCTGAAAATGCTCAAATAAATGGTGACGTTGAACGGAAGATTTCTAATGGCGAAAGCACCATAGATGGTACGTCGTACTGCTTGTATTGTTTACAGTTCATCTCTTATCAAGTTGTTTGGGGTGGGTAAAAACAACAGTTGAAGCAGAGGGGAAAGTCGTGTGGATCAGTCACGTTAGGTAACTTTTTTCCGGTTTGTTTCCGTCGCAATTTTTTTTTCATTTGATCAAAATACGAATTTTCTTGACAGCATTACAATTTTCGTTTGTTCTTCCACTTGACTCTTTATTCAGGTGTGGTAGATGCTGCTGCTGAAACTCTTGAAAAAATTGAACTTGAAAACGCGCAAGCGCGATCTGTCGCTGGAGCCTTGACTTCGAACCCGAAGGGTTTAGACCACAAGGTGGAAAGTTTAACGGTGAGTTTTTAAAGTCTTTTTTCGTTATCACATTATGGCCGAACATCTGCAAGTTTATTACCCTATTTGGGAGCGGCATGGAACTTAGTGCTTTGAAAAGCCCTGGTGGGGTTGGTACTCGCACAGAAATTTTGTGCTTTTGGAGAAGCGTGTTCTTTATCCCCCTTTCACGACCGAACCGCTCATCACGTTGTACACGTGAATACTGATAAGCTTCTAAACTACCATAACGATGATAGACTGGGCTTTCGCTCACAATTCATCGTTTAATGAATTTTTTGCATGGCGAGTTGCAGCAAAAACCACAGAATTTACCAATAGTTGTTTTTATTTAACAGGTATCGTTATTAATGCTTCGCTTAATTATAAATCACTTGCGCTCTTTTTCACCTCTATCACAACTATGTTCCTTCTTTTCAATTATATTGCAAATTCTGCAACGGTGACCAAGTGTCTCATGCAATCTCAACTGATTCATACCTGAAATCATTCATGATAACTTGTTCTGATGTGAAGTTGTGTTGATTTATGTTACTGAATCAATCAGAACGTCTCACAAGGTGGCGAGCCATGGGCAAAATTCTCGTCTTTCGAGAGGATTCGAACCCACACTTGTGCTTTCTGGGCACTTTACTCCTTGTCTCGTGCACTATCGAGACCCCTCTTACCCTCGACTTCTTGATGGGTCGTTGTTTAGGTCGGTTCGCCTTACGCCGGGAATCATTCCTTTCTTTTAGAAAACAGTTAGAAAGTGTAGGTGTGGGTGAGGGGGAGGGGCATTGATTTTATCCAACACGGAGGGCTAGAGTGCAGAGGACGGATAGCTGATATGACCTGTACTTAGGAAGCGGTTCCAGGCGGTTTTCAAGCTATCAGAAGGGCAGGACAGCGGAGTGGGGGTGGGATGATGACGTCGTGCAAAAAGCTAATATGGGGAATGAGTTAAGTATTCAATTGACTCACCCCACCTAAAATTATAAAAAAAGGCGGAGGTCTCCCATCTACATGATCACCTAAGGTTTTTTAAAGACATAGCACGATGCCGGTACAAATTGAGATCACAGTTTTGAAGTACCCACTTCACCCCACATCCCTCGCTTCACTCTGCAGTACTCACCCTACTCCATCAACCCACCCACCAAGTTACTGCCTTATTTATAAGAAGGAAGTGTAGAATAGAGCTAGGTTTTCCATATCACTGCCTCTATCTCAACCATAAGTTCTGCGGACGGACAGAGCGACAACCAACAAACTGACACACCGACAAACTTACAAGCCGATACACAAAGTTTCTGCTTTATAAATAAGAGAGATAAGATATAAAGGCAAAATTCATAAGGTTGATATCCAATATGAAGCGTGAATTATACGTGAATTCATCAGAGTATGTGCAAGCGCAAACCTATACTTGAGACCACGTCGTTTGAGGGTCTAACTATAGATGAGGAACTGGAGGTCAGATGACTCGGCTTGGAAGTTGTCTTATGCAAGGGAAATGTTGTCCAATTTGTTTGATGAATATTATTTTATTCGTTGGATGTTTATCTTTATTGTTTAAAATGTTTTCAGATTACTTTTCACGGAAGGGAGATTGTTGTGGACACGAAATTAGAACTTAACCGGGGAAGGCGATATGGTTTGATTGGCCTAAATGGAAGTGGTGAGCACTTTGTCAGATATCTTCCAACGAGTTGAGCTTTTTTGGCTATTTCGAGCTTTTTCAGGCAAGTCAACTATCATGCACGCTATTGTTAATCGAGAGCTTCCTATACCTGACAGCGTTGATATGTACCTGGTTCGTTGTTTTCAAAATTCTCGCTAATTTGTTCCCACGGTATGACTAATGCACTCACGTAAGCTTTATCTGACTTTAGGTTCACACTTTCATTAAATTTCAGACATTAATTTCGTTCCGAAATCCCTGTTACAAGTGTTGACCCATCTGTTTGTGTACAATGAATTAATGCTTTCCACCTTTTACGAATTCCGCACTTTTAATTCACTTCAACCTCCATTGATAGGGTTGCCCACTGTACCATAAAACAAGCTTTGTTTGATGTATTTTGACCAATGAAGGGAAAAAAGCTGCGGAGATTTTTTGAAAAGGTCATCCGTAGCCTCTGTTCTTGGTAAAAGGTCCCTGCTCCAGTTTTGGAAATCTTTGGATAGAACGAAGGAGGGCATATTACAGGTCATATTGGAGTTAATATTTAAACATTTTCTGAACAGTCCTTGAGTACTCGTGTAAGCAGTTAGTTTCACTCTAGTAATAATTTCCCATGAGGTTTTGAGTTATTGGGTTAGAGAGGAAAGGTTCCCGTAGAAGAAAAGTGGTTTATTTAGAGGGGCCCTGAATGGGTTTTAGAAACAAAGCCTGCACAGCCTTAGTATCGATCGAAACCTTCCTTTGCATGCCGCTCTTGAAAGAAAATTTAAAAGAAGTGTGATCCTTCATTCAGTTGATCCTAAACATTTTTCCGATAACGCGTTCGGTTGTTGTGATTCATGTCTTTTTTGAATACTACCAGTTTTTCTATAAGTCTCATCGACGTAGGTAAAATGTATTGCCCTTTTTATGTAATCACCTTTCATTTTACTTGATAAGTCTCATACGTCCACGTTTACGAACGAATTTACCTTTATCGTGGTATATTGATGCTCTGGTTCCTTGTTTGATCTTATTTGAACTTTACACACGCGAAAAGAAATCGTGGGAAGTCGTCTGAAGTTTTGCACTAAAGGGAACAAGCGAGAATTTGATGAAGAAAGCCATTCGCTGGAGTGGCAACATATCATATCTGAGCTTCGAAAGATTTCGACATGTGGCTAGTCTTGTTTATGGTAACGTGTTATCGTGGTGTCGTAGCATTCCATACTTAGCAGGTTCTGGACCTCCATGGTTAATGGATTTCTGTGGACTCTCTAACTCTTAATAGCTTAATGAATCACGTGTTTGAATCTTCAGATTAGCTTTAGGAAAGCGACGCTTTCAAAGTCTATGTACTGTAAACTAAACTTTTTCTTATAGTCTTCTTCTTATAATTAGATGTCGTCAACAAAAGATCTCGATGCGATCTCATCATTCTTTCCTTTGCACTTTAGATGATTGATTTTTCATGTCATATATATTATACATTCATTATATACATTCATGTATTATACCCACTCGGTTTGCTGCGAAAATTTTCATTTTTATCGTTTGCTAAACATTTGCATGATTTTTACGCGCCATCACTTTCGTTAAGTACCCAGCCATGCCGGGTCATATATCGCTTCTCTTCTAATGCTCATAAAGTTGCGAATAATGGATGTTGGATGGGTCCACAATTTCTCACTTCTTCGTTTCACAGACTCTACTGCATCCTTACCTTCGTCACCAGGCGTAACCAGCCTTTTTGGTCATGAAATGTCATTACGAATTTCAAGGTTGGCTCTTCCGAAACATTGCTACCGTGCGTTCACTGAACGCTTGTACTGGGAAGTTAAATAAAATGAAATATTGCGAAATGCCTATTTGAAGTTTCAATCTCAACTGATGGTAGACTGTAAAAATCAACAAAATCGCGTAATTGTATCACTCGTGCTAGGAGCTTCAGCTGCTGCATGAGATAAAACGAACAATGATGCATATAAATCCGCATTACTGAAGATATGTGCCACTGGTTTCAAAATTAGGTCATTTGTTTTTCTGGCCCCAAAAGTTGTTGTGATTATAAAAAAAACTAAAAGTAATCTAGATCCTTCTTTAACTTTCATTCAAAATTGTGTGTTGAAAATATTCTAGTTGATGTTTGAAAACAGACTTTCGAAAACCAGTCGTTTTTTGTGGTTTTACATAATGGAGAGTGACGCTATCTTTCCTGCCACTCATAAAATATTTCAGGTTTCCCGTGAGATGCCTGCTTCTAACATAACCGCTTTGCAAGCAGTAGTCGATGTCGATACCGAGCGAAAGGAACTTGAGCACCTGGCCGAGGAACTTGCTGGGAATGACGATGATGGTATACATTGTATCTGCACATTTCTTTTTTTAAAATCAATTCACTTCTTATTTAGAGAGCCAGGAAAGACTCACGATGATGGTATACATTGTATCTGCACATTTCTTTTTTTAAAATCAATTCACTTCTTATTTAGAGAGCCAGGAAAGACTCATGGATATCTATGACCGATTGGACGAAATGGATGCAGCTCTTGCCGAGAAAAGAGCTGCTGAGATTCTTCACGGTCTTGGGTTCACCAAAACCATGCAAATGAAGAAGTGCAAGGATTTTTCAGGTTTATTCTTCAAAATCCAGTTCCTTGTGGCGGTTAATCGATGAATGTCGTCTTCAGGAGGATGGAGGATGCGAATAGCCTTAGCTCGAGCACTCTACCTGAAACCTTCATTATTGCTTCTTGATGAGCCTACAAACCATCTTGATCTGGAAGCATGCGTTTGGCTGGAAGGAGAACTCAGTCGATACAAAAGGACACTGCTAATTGTATCTCACTCACAAGATTTTATGAATGGTGTTTGTACGAATATTATTCACCTATTTCAGAAGAAATTGGTTTACTACACGGTAAGCTGTTATTCAACTTTTGGAAGGCATAATGAAAGCATCTTTTTTTCAGGGTAATTATGATCAGTTTATTAAAACTCGGCTTGAACTCATGGAAAATCAAATGAAACGCTATAATTGGGAGCAATCGCAACTGCAGCATATGAAGGTATGACATTTAACATGACAACGGTGTCATCTGTATAAAATGGGATTTTAGGACTATGTGGCTCGTTTTGGTCACGGTTCTGCCAAACTTGCTCGTCAAGCCCAATCTAAAGAGAAAACAATGGCGAAAATGATCGCAGGTGGTTTGACGGAAAAAGCTGTTGCGGAAACGGTGAGTGTTGAGCCGCGTTATATTAGGTTGGTGCATAATTATTGCGGATTTTTTCAGCAAATTTTACTTGAAGAAACTATGGAAATATTTAGCAAAGACATGTTCAAATAATTGCTCCGGGACATATCCACCATTTACGTCAAGCACTGCTTCCCATTTGTTGGGCGGTTGGATTCCACAGGCGAAGAAGTTCCGATCCTTGGGGGCGATCACGCCTTGACGTTGGCCATCAGGCCATCCACTTCGTCGGAAGTTCTGCTCGTTAACCAATTTTTTAAAGGGCAATTGACGTGATATTCCATGGGAGTTTCTGTTGGTGAATAGGGCGACCGTGGAAGCAGATTCCATTCCTCATTCGGCTTTGGCTGACTGTTCCATTGCCGAGAAGTTCGTTGAGATCACGTTATGAGTGTGCTGCCTTCCAACATTTCTCGAAGTAATAGAGCATAATGTAGCTTATATGAAGATGGCTCTCTAGACATATTTCTGTTAGGAGAAGCGAGAAGATTATTTCTACAAAAATCCCGAACTCAGAAGTTTGATTTTATCGAGAGAAAAGAAACCGCGAAAAAATCCGCAATAATTATGCATCAGCCTAATACTTACCTATCTGGCTATTTACGCAGCCTTCACAGCCCGTAGTGGATGACACAAACCACCAGACATCTTCCAAGGCATCAATAGTTGGCCACATTGTGAATGTAATGGCGTGAATATTATTGTGATGTATGACATGCATGTGATAGCAAAAAGTTGATAAACAAAAGAGCGAAGGCGGATTCAAGTGTCAGATGAGGTGAAGCGCTTCGGGGAAACATCGCCGCGCACGTGGCCATTGCGTTGCTGTTACAGTAGATGAACTGGGCCTGCGCCACATTGTACTCGCATCACGCGTACAGATATAGCTTTTTAATGATGCAAAGGTGGGGATCGTCAGTTTACCTCTTATAAGCACCTTAGATGTAGGCTCCCCTCAATTCCTGGAAAGTTTCACAGGATTTTTTT